ACTGAGCCACCCAGGCGCCCCTCCTTTAAAACTCTCTTTAAGAACATTACATCCTGAATTTAACTATCAAAACAGAAAACTACATTAATTAAGGCTTAAAGGAGAAAATAAGCTAACAACTTCTGAGCCAAAGAAGTCTCAAGTGGGCAACAATGATATTACTTCCAGTGAGACATACCAAACTTTGCTGTGTATACTGGGTTCTTTTATTTTTTTAAAAATTTATTTATTTATTTTAGAGAGAGAAAGAGGGTATGTGTGTGCATGCAAGCGGGGTTGGGGCGGGGGGACAGAGGGAGAGGAAGAAATCTCAAGCAGACTCCCCGCTGAGCACTGAGCCTGATGTGGGGCTCAATCTCATGACCCTGAGATTGTGACCTGAGCCGAAATCAAGAGTCGGATGCTCAGCTGACTGAGCCATCCAGGCGCTCCTGGACTGAGTTCTTACATTTACTGCTCAGCTGAGAGGCTTCCAGTTTTCTGTTAGACAGATTACATACGGTTATAAATTACTAACATTACAGTATTTCATTAAGTACATCATAATTTTCAATGTGACATCGAATTGTTCTCCAAGCACAGTTGCAGGTTGCATTTTGTCAGGAATCGTTGTGGAGGACTCTTCAAACTGCAGGTAGAAACCCAAGTGGCATGCTCTGCAAGTGCCTACTCAGGAAAATTTCCTTTTCTCCAGGTACCTTAGCAGCACTTTTGGTACACTTAGGTCCACGTGTATGACAGGAGAGGAGCTGCCACCATCTTTGACTTGCCAGCCAAAGGCCTGGCCCCCGCCTCTGCTTTACTTGGACTGTAGGTTCCAGGCCAGGGGTGCAAAGTGGTTCCAGGGCATGGGTCGGGCTATAGTGGAGATGGCTCCTCAAAGGACTGTGTGGGTGAATATGTGTTCCTATGTTTCAACAAGAAATTGGAAGAAAGATATTTATACGGTTTATTCCTTTTTGTTATTAGAGAATACAAATTTATATACATATTATGTGTACACATAATAGGGCAGTGCCTTAAATATCCCAGTAACTTAATTTTTAAGTTTGTTAATCGGCACCCACTTGTGTGTGGTATATAGTAGTGAAGTGTTGCTTTTCAAGCAGGTATTTCGGCATGGTGTGAGTTTGTTTTGGCAGTTAGTGAGTGGAGGATTCATTTTCCAGCATTGATCAAACTTGCCCTAAAGTTTAGTTATTGGAAAGTTACAGGCTCAGACAACAAATAGGCATAGCTTTAAGCTGTTAATGAAACAACTCATTTAACTATAAGTTGGTAGTGCTAAACTAATGTAGTTTCAGTTGAAGAGCAAGAATAAAGTTGAAAAGCACTCTCTTTAAGGCAACATTCATGATGTAATTGGAGCGACCTTACTGAAATCTGCGGTAGTTTGCAGTAAGGTAGGTGCAGGCATTTCTGTGCGCACCTGTGTGACTTGACAGCATTCTACTTTTGCGTGATGGTCAGTCATCTTCGTGGAAAGTTTAAATTGTTCGTACTGATTTTAGTTCGTGAATACCACACTTTGTTGATCTTTAATCATTTATCTTCTGGGTTGTCAGTCAATAGCCTTTTGCTATACATTAAAACAAAAGTTTATGAAATTGCTTGTCATTCACTTCTAAGAAGTAAAGGAAGCCTTTACTTTGGATTGACTTATGATCTTTCATTCTGTGATTCTGAGAGCTCATTCTTAGAATACCTTTCAAGATTTTTTTCTAGGCTAGTGGTATCTGAAATGAATTTTATTTTCTGAAAATATTATGTGCTTAATGCAGAATTTGTTTTTAAATATTTTTTTTCATAAGTGATATATTTGGGGGTGCCTGCATGCCTTAGTTGGTTAAGCATCTGACTCTTGATCTTAGCTCAGGTCTAGATCTCAGGGTCATGAGATCAAGCCCCTCATTGAACTCATTGAAAAAAGAAAAAGTGATATTTATAGCAGGCAGATGACATGAAAACAGTTGATAAAGCAAAAGCACTCGTGTAGAATTGGCTATAACTTTTTCCCTCTGTGTTTCCTAGATTGAAGGGCAAGGACATGGAGCGGTCTTTGACTGTAAGTTTTCACAGGATGGACAGCATTTTGCCTGTACAGATTCTCATGGACACCTTCTGATATTTGGTTTTGGATGCAGCAAGCCATATGAAAAGGTCTTTTTTTTTTTGTAGCATTTTAACCACTTTTACAAAATTATAATTCCAGTGTAGTTAACATACAGTAGCTTCAGGTGTACAGTATAGAGATTCAGCAATTCTGTATATTACTCAGTGCTCATCAAAATAAGTGTACTCTTAATCCCATTCATCTATTTCACTCATCTCCCTGCCCACCTCCCTCTGGTAACCATCTATTCTCTATATTAAGAGTCTGTTTTTTGGTTTGTCTCGAAAAGGTCATTCTTAATACTTTTTTACAGTAGTAAAGTAAGTAGTTATAAAGGATGTTTTGGAAATAGGTGTATTGATTTGGTTTCCTTGTTTTTTTTCGAATTATAAATAACTTTAATATTTGTATTCTTTAACATATATAAACCTCAAAATGTCAATCTGTGAACTTCTTTTTTTCAGATTCCTGATCAGATGTTCTTCCATACTGACTATCGACCACTGATTAGGGATTCTAATAATTATGTCTTAGATGAGCAAACTCAGCAAGCTCCTCACCTTATGCCTCCACCATTCTTGGTAGATGTAGATGGAAATCCTCATCCAACTAAGTATCAGAGATTAGTACCAGGTCGAGAAAATTCTGCAGATGAACATTTGGTTCCACAGCTAGGCTATGTGGCAACAAGTAAGTGCAATCTTTTTTTTTTTTTTTCTTTCACTTTTTATTCGAAAAATGTAAAAAATAATATGCAGAACTCACACACTTTTAGATTTATCAGTTAATAGTTTGTAATACTTGTTTTATCATTCTATTTCTAGATACATGTAATTGTTTTTAACCATTTGAGAGATAAGTTTTCAACCACATGTTCATTTATCCCTAAATACTTCAATATGTGTTTTCTAAGAACAAAGGTATTCTCTTATGTAACCGTAAGCAATTATCAAAAGTAGGACGTTTAACACTGTAATACTGTTATTAAGTCTATGGTCTGTAATCAAATTTTGTCTGTTATTCTGATGCCTGTTAACTTTTATTGTTCTACTTTGATGTGGATCTCAGTTTGGGACTGCACATTAAACTTAGCTGTCCTTGGTGAAGTTCAGGTTGTGCTTTTTTTTTTTTTTTTTAAGTTTTATTTATTTTTAAGTAATCTCTACACCTAGTGTGGGGCTCAAATTCATGACCCCAAGATGAAGAATTACATGCTCTTCCGACTGAGCCAGCGAGGCACCCCCCGGTTGTACATTTTTTGATAGAATACAGTATAAATGATGATGTAGTGTTCTTGGAGCATCATGTCAGGGTGCTTATGATTGTGCTTTGTCCAAATATTTGTGATGTTTTCTTTGAAAACTTGGTTAAGGTGGTGCCTGCTAAGTTTTCCTCTACAAAGTTATTTTTCTCTTCGTAATCAGTAAATTTGTGGGGAGATATGATGTAAATAACCTGTTCCTTACCAAACTTTACCTATAAGTTTTAGGATCCATTGATGATTTTTGCCTGAATCAGTTGTTCTAAAGGTTGCAAAATGGTTGTTTTCTAACTTTATGGTCATTGCATCTGCATTTTATTAGTCTGCCTTTTATATGTTTATGTAGTTCATTAAGTTTTAATATGGACTTAAGGGTTGTTATATAGTGGGTTATAATCCATAATGGTCATTATTTTGTTGCTCATTATTTTTAGATTTGAGTGTGAGAGTCTCTTCAGGCTGCGTGTTCCCTTTCCTGAGTCCCTTGAACACTTCCTTAACTTTCTGGTGCAAGATGTTTGAGTCCCGTCTTGTACTTTGCCTGGCCTAGTCAAGGGCAGAATTTTTGTTTTGTTTTGTTTTTTTGTATTTGTTACCACAGTGTAGTGTTTCTCCATACAGATGTTATTAAGCAAAGAAAAAAATGCTTCTTTTTTGTTTGGATGAGGTTTGTTTTACTAAAAGTTAATCACCAGTTATCACTGTGTGTTTACTGTTTCAAGTGTTTATTTTTTATTATTTTAATTGAAGTATAGTACATACAACAAAATTCACCAATTTTAAGTGTGCAAGTCAAATGAGTTTGGCAAATGTTAAACAATCAGGTAACCACCACTACAGGCAAGGTATAGAATGTTTCCAGTGCCCTCAAAAGTTCTGTTGGGCTTTTTAAATTAATTAATTTTTATTTTTATTTAAATTCATTAACAATGTATTATTAGTTTCAGAGATAGAGGTCAGTGATTCATCAGTCTTACATATAACACCCAGTGCTCTTTACATCACGTGCCCTCCTTAATGTCCATCACCCAGGTCCCTCCCCCCACCCCCACCAACCCTCAGTTTTTTCCTAGGATTTAGAGTCCCTTATGGTTTGTCTCCCTCTCTGATTTCATCTTGTTTTATTTTTTCCTCTCTTCCTCTATGACCCTCTGTTTTGTTTCTTAAATTCTGTATGTGAGTGAGTTCATAATAATAATTGTCTTTCTCTGACTGACTTATTTCGCTTAGCATAATACCTTCTAGCTCCATCCAGGTCCTTGCAAATGGCAAGATTTCGTGTTTTTTTTTGTTGGCTGCATAATATTCCTCTGTGTGTGTGTGTGTGTGTGTGTGTGTGCGCGCGCGCATGTATGTATGTATGTATACACTACATCTTCTTTATTCATCTGTTGATGGGCATCTGGGCTCTTTCCATAGTTTGGCTATTGTGGACATTGCTGCTATAAACATTGGGGTACAGGTTCTTTTGGGCCTTTTTGGAATCTTCTGCTGGTCTATGCATACTTCCAGTTCTAAAACTCAGAACAGTTAAAAATGTGTGTTTAAGGCAATGAAGAATACAATGATTCTTTATCCTTTAACAGTAATGACTGCTATTTTGTCACTTTTATTTTGTCTTTTTGAGGAATTTTGTATAAATGGAGTTGTACAATACTAAATCTTTTGTATCTGGCTTCTTAGCATGGTGCTTTTGAGATTCATTTTTGTTGCACAGATTAGTTGTTTGTTCCTGTTTGTTGATAGTGTACCATGGTATGTGTATACCCTCATTCATTCAGTAACAATTGAAGGACAGTTGGCTTTTTTCCATTTTGGGGTTATTATAAGGAGTGCTGAAATATCAAATTACCATGTGGGCTTATCTTATGTCCTTTGGTTCTGTTAGTTTTGCTTTATGTATCTTAAAGTTCTGTTATTAGGTGCACATTTCAGATTGTCCTCTGGGTGAATTCTTTTATCATTATGAATTGTTCCTTTTTCCCTTGGTAGTATTTCTTCTTTTGAAGACTTTTTCTTTGTTTCATATTAACATGCTAATCCAGCCAGTTTTGATGAGTATTGTCATCAATACTCATAAGCAGATGCTTAACCAACTGAACCACCCAGTAGAACCCTACTTTAATATTTCAGTATTTGAATAACATTATGTCAATTAGAAACAGTTATCGTTCTGATATTTGCCACATTCCATTTAAGTGTTCTGTGCTGTGAATGAAAAGTTCTATAGACCTTGGGTTTTTGCGGAGAGGGGGAGAGGACTAGAAGTCTCCTTTTCTACTGTTTTCCCTTTGGTTCCAAGTTGTAGTCTTAGGAATCTTTTGTTATTCCAGTTCTAATTAAAACCTTTTTAACCTTTTAGATTAGGGCTCCACTTTTTGCTTTCTTAGCTCATTTTTTGAAAATAAAAAAAATAGTGCTTTTAAGATAGTCTTAGTTATGACATTTAGTTCTTGTAAGTTCTTCATTGATTGCCATGGTAAAATGGAGATGTTATCAGTGAGATATAAGGGAATTTAACTCAAATAGTAGGATGCAAATATTTTTTCTCCTGAAACAGTACATGACATTTTTTAGTTTCTGGATCTGTTACTATGGAGGCTAGGTTATATTTTTGCATTCTTTTTGCTAATACCCTATTAATTTCAGTCTGGGGGGGGGTTCTCTTTATAAGTTGCTGGGTGCTTGGTCTGTGTTATATGTTATGTTCAAAGAAGATGCATTTTATATGGGAGGATATGTAAGGAATTGTTTGCATGAAAAAGTTAGTGTTTAGATAATTTTTCCAGACCCCACAACCATCTAACACTTTTTATCCATTAATATTAACTAAACCTGTGATTTCAAAAATAAAGAAGCAAAGGCACTTGTAAAAAATCTGATTTTTTGTACTTGAAGAGAAGCATGCCTAAGAGATAAGAGTAACTTAAGCTTAGTGGGAGAGGCATGTGTAGCTATCTCCTTCAGCGGCACCTGCTCTCAGGACACTTGGGCTGGGAGAGCTACAGCCTTAGTTTGTTGAAGCGTATTACTCTTTTTTTAAAAAATTTTTTTAAGAGAGTAGAGGAGAAATGCCACTGCTTTTCTCTACATCAGAAGTTACACATTTTTGCTCTGGTCTTGTCAGAGACCTTGGGAAATAAAGAGTTTAATGAAATCTATCTTACGTGAGGCAAGGGGAGTGTTAGTGTGAAACAGCATATTAAAGCTTCCACTGAAACTTCCACAGGTTTCCATGTGCTTACCTCAGGGGTTTCAGAGGCTCTGTTGAGGTTTTTGTGGTGTTTGGTATAAAGGAAGGGTTTCATTTGTTTTGAATCTTTTCTCTGATCCAGTTAATTATGAATATATAGGATATTTTTAATTGCTTATTTTTTATTTTTTTATTTTTATTTAATGATTTTATTTATTTATTAGAAATGAGAGAGAGAGCACGCGGGTACATGAGCAGAGGGAAGAGGGAGAAGCAGGCTCCCTGCTGAGCCGGGAACCTGATGTGGGGCTTGATTCCAGGACCCCGGGATCAGGACCTGAGCCGAAGGCAGATGCTCGACCGACTGAGCCACCCAGGCGCCCCAGTTGCTTATTTTTTTAAAAGAAATCTGATAATTGCTAATATTTTTAATTGTAGTTTTCTGAAAGTTTGTTTTTCTGTTCATGTTTATTATGATTTTGTGTTATGGTTGTGAATTTACAGGTGATGGAGAGGTGATTGAACAAATTATAAGCCTACAAACCAATGATAATGGTGAACGAAGCCCAGAATCCAGTGTTCTTGATGGAATGATAAGACAGTTGCAGCAGCAGCAGGATCAGAGAATGGGAGCAGATCAGGATACTATTCCAGGTGGACTTCCAAGTGGAGAAGAAACACCGCGAAGAGGTAAAATATCTGAGAAATATTTTGTCTTATTATGGCTGAAATTGAAGAGTAAATGAAGTAATTTTCAGGTACATGCAATGTGAAAAATTTTAACTGTATTTTGTAACTTTAGTAGTCTGAGAGTAACTTCATTAGGTGTGAAGTTGATGATGTACTAGCAAATGGACATTTGATTTTCAAGTACTTTGAAAGGCTGTTAAAACCTTTTTTGCTCTAAAATAAGAGTATTTACAAAATTGTATTGAGTAAAGAACAAAGTTTTTTGTTTTTTGTTTTTTTTTAAGGAAAACTACAGTTCTAGGTTTCCCTTTAAACATTTTTAGTTAAAAAAAAATTAGTTGGGTAGAGCATGAAATGTTTCTTACGGAACCAGAAGGCTTGAAGTGAATTTTCGGGGTGAGGTTTTTGATCCTGTAGTATAGTATTAGTTACTTTTTAGGAGTGAGAGTACTGGAGGGGAGCAGACCGTGGTTATGCAAATGGAAACTTGTTGTGGAAGATGAGAGAAGCCTCAAGTGCCACAGAGGTCATCCCTGCCATGTCACACCTGCTCAGGGTACTCGGCCGCTAATTTCAGTACCTTTCCTTGCCAAATGTTTCCACTTGTCTACAGAAAAGAAAAAGCAAATTCTCCCAATAGACAGGTTAAATATTTTGGGCAGGAATACTGCAAGTTGATGCTGTGTTCTTCTCTGCCTTGCTTTTTCCCCTTGACACAATATATTCTAGAAATCACTTCATATCCACTCACAGCACTGCTCATCCTTTTTTATAGCTTCATAGTACTCCACTCTGTGGAATAACTGTTCTTTGTAATTAATGTTTATGACCATTTGAGTTATTTCTCAGACTTGCTATTTACGAAGTGATGTGATCAATAACCTGTGCATATGTTTTCTTCACATTGTTGGAGAATAATACTATAATTTGGGCAGTTAAATTTAGAATTTATTGTTGGTTCTCAATTCAAAACATGTTTCTTAAATATCAGTATATTTTAATATAAATATTTGGATTGATAGGGGCCTTTAAGGGGTACCTGTGTGGCTCAGATGGTTAAGCGTCCCAACTCTTGGTATCAGCTCAGGTCTTGGATCTCTGGGTTGTGAGTTCAAGCCCCGTGTTGGGCTCCATGCTGGATGTGGAGCCTACTTAAAAAAAAAAACCAAAAAAACAAAATAGGGTCATATAATGTTCTCTTCAGTAGATGAAGTGTGGTGCAATGCAAGTTGGTTCACATTTGATTGGTAAACAGAGTGCTGTACCTAGAAGAATGCAGGGGTTGTGTTCAGTCATGTGGATTTTGCCCTGGCCCAGGAGAGCTGGCAGAGTTGAAGTAGAATTTTATAGGCTCCTGCAGGCAAGGATATAGCTCCCAGTTTCTCTGTTGCGTTAATAGCAGGAGGCCCTTCATACAGTATTTTAATAAAACAAGCACTTTATCTAGGACACCGTTGTTCTCCATCCTTCATCCTGCTGACTTCCACTCATGGGGGGTTGTCCTGCCTCCTCTGCCCAGGCTTGGGGCTCACTGTTGTCTGCGATGCCCTGTCCACTCTCTCAGCTCCAGTTCAAGTGCTGCCAGCATTTCCCCAGTCTGCATTTTGTGAAGTTTTAATATCCACTCTGGCGGCTTGCCTGCCTGAGTGGCTCAGATTATCTCTTAAAGTCAGAGGTAATGTTGGTGTTTGAGCTTTTGTTATGAAGCCACCACAGTTTGAGGAGACTGTCATGCAATGCTAATTTTTCCAAAAAGATGTGTTTTTAGTGTACAGTTTTGAAGAAGACAAAGCCTTTAGGATGGCAAATAAAGCATTACAGTAGAAAATACCTGTACATTAAAAGATTCAAGAAGTCTAATAAAAGTAGAAGTTGAAGTTAATGTTTGTTCTGTATTTTGATAGTTACATTATGATTTTTACAAAGTTTTTTGGATTTGTATTTTTGGTGTGTATCTTATTAGGACTGTATATGCCTATTAATGTGTTAAATGCATATTAGATTGAAATTTGGGAATCAATTTTGACAATTTTCCTGCAGGTTTTAGAAGACTGAGCTTAGACATCCAGTCCCCTCCAAATATTGGTCTGCGTCGTAGCGGACAAGTAGAAGGTGTTCGTCAAATGCATCAGAATGCTCCTCGTAGTCAGATTGCTACAGAACGTGACCTGCAGGCTTGGAAACGAAGAGTGGTTGTACCAGAGGTACCACTAGGCATATTTAGGTTTGTTTTAGGATATCTATTAATATTGTTTTCTTTTTACAGAAATATATCTATATGGTTATTTACATGTTTTTTACTCCATTAGTGGTATAAATAATCATATAAATATATTTTAGTAATGGGTCGGAATCTATTTTAATTGTGGTAGGAAAATGTCGAAATTGTTCTCTTAAGTTTTTACTGTGGTAAATTTTTTCTTAACCTTTCCTGTTCCATCTTTACAAATACCCGCTTTTCTCCCTTCAGTGTTATTTTGAAATAAATCCCAGGTGTATCGTTTTGTTCATAAATATGTCTAATTCTAAAAGATAAGGAATTATCTTTAATATTACCACAGTGCCATTATCAGTACCTTAAAAAAATAATTGCTCTGTAGAACCAAATGTCCCGTCAGTGTTTAAATTTCCAATTATTTTTAGTTCTTTTGCAAGACTGTTTCTTCAGTGGCATAATTTTGTCAAAAGGCACGTAATATATATTCTCTTTCCGTGACGCCAGCAGGCATTGGTGCTCACTGGCTAGATTCATTAACTCATTAGGGGCCATAAAACAGCGATCACTCAACTCTGTGAAGTCTTCGTTTGTTACAGTGGGTACTTCTAAAAAAGAAATTTACCCAAATGTACTGTTTGATTATCTAGTGGTAAAGTTCATATAAAAAAGACAAGATAGATGCTTCTTTTGCTTTATTTACTTTCAAAATGAAGATTTACTCTCACCCCCAGTAATGACCAGTTTGTGTTCTCCGCTATATAAATCACACTGCTGTGATTTAGCTTATTTCTAATATCCTTATTAAGTTTTTCTATCTCTGGCCAGGAGGAGCCTCTTCAAGGTACCTCCTGAGTCCTTTTGAAATGACGGTAGGATCCTTCTGTGGTGCCCCTGCTATCAGGCATGGCAAGGTGTTACAGGTTCGTCTTATAAATTTCTCATCCTGGATGTAGAATCGTTCTTGAAGTAGCCTGATTTTCTTTTAGTGGGAAATATTTTATAATTATAGTCTGGGCAGTAGGGTCTTTCTTTCTACTGAGGTGTTACCTGCTGATATTTGAGTTAATGAAATGGAGGTAGCAAATGTTGCTTTTCACTGATACCTGAAATGTTCAGTATTCTGTTATGTCTCATAATAACTAATACTTTGAAGATTATTTTGTAAAGGTATGTCCTCCATGTGTTTAGGCAGAAGAGTTTCAGTGATTGGTGGAGGGATGTAGTACTTACATATTGTATGGTGAATTTAAGAATGTTTACAAATACACGATAAAATAATGAAAAGCAAAATCTGGTATTGGGATGAGAAATACAGAAAATCACCGTCATGTATGTACTGTGCTATAATTAAGCCTTAAAATTGTGTCTGAGTTGCATAGTCATCAGAACCAAAAGTGTCATTTTGGGATACTTTTTGTTGTCAAAACCAAGGGAAGCAAACAAGTACCAAGAGGGAGAGATCTGAAGAATACTTCCTTAAACAGGCATATATTTATTCTCTTAACATGGAAGACTGGAAATAGTTTTAGGCTGGAATCATGGTTCCCTGGTTAATCAGGGACTCAGGCTCCCCTGTTTCTGATCTCCATCTGGGAGTATGGCTTCCAGGCTTAAAGTCACCTCAGAGTCCAGGATAGCTGGACTTTATACAGTAGCCATCAATATCTGCATTTGTGATAGAGGTGGAGATTTAGGCCAGAAAAAGGAAGAGGGAGGCAAAAAGGACATTTCTTGTTGAGAGACTTCATTTAAGCAGCCTTAATAGTCGGACATGACCTTTTCTGTTCATAACTCATTGGTGAGAATGTTGTCATATGGCCGTATTTAGCTACAGAGGAGGCTAGGTGATAGTTTGTATTTAGAGCAGCAAACAGCCTAGATAAAAACTGAGGTTCTGTTTCAAAGGAAGAAAAGGAGAATGGAGTTTTTGCATCAACTACTGTCTGCTATAATAAAATTTTCCCAAAGAAGAGCGTAGCTCATTGTAGTGCTATATTCTAAAATACATGTGAGATTTTGTAAGGGAGATGCTGAGTAATCTAGTAATGGTCAGTGCTCTTGATGACAGTCCTTTTAGTGGGAGCAATAGGAATTTTACCTGTTTTCTTAGTGTGGTATTTGATGAGGATCAAGAGAAAATTAAAGTTTTGTTTTCCAACTATAAAAGTAGTATGTGTCCATTGTGAAAAACTTAGGTAGTAGATGAAAGTGTGAGACAATCAATCAATGACCCTAATATGCAGAATGTTGAGCAAACAGTATTGCTTGCCAGTAGACACAGTTCTGGTTGGGGCTGGATTCCAGGCATGTAGTTTGTCTTAATTCAGTAATAGTAGAAGCTCTCTTCATTCTGTTCATGCTAATTCTGTGATCTTTATCTTTTTTCTTAACTGACCATCTCATTTAGCCATGAAATTGCACAGAGTTGAAGATGATACTCATGAAGGCCTAGAGTGTTCCCTTGCTTTATTATTGAGAATGAAGTGTATGTAGTGTTTCATTTTCAAAACAAAGGGAAGCATACAGCTATGGAGTAGAATTCCATTTGGCTGCGAGTGAAAACCTTATATAGTTCCTTAAATACACATAAAATTGGTGACACAGACCACTTGTGAAGGGCTGAGTCTGATTTAGAGCTGCTCTGTAGATACAGTGTTGCTCATCTCCAGTGGGCTGGAGATGTACGTTGAGGAAAATGCCCTAAGGTAAAAACTGATTGCAGTTTTTACCTTAGGGCATTTGTGCATATTCTCTTTCTGAGCATCTGCTTGTATCTTGGATTATGGCCAATGTGTCAGTTTTGAAACTGGCCAAGTGGGGTTTTAAAGTGAACACAAACACAAAGCCATATGTTTTCAGCAATGTTCAAATTAGAGAAAAAGGACATTCAGTCACTTGAATTCCCTAACCATGGAGAAGGAAAAAGAACTTCAGTACCTTCCTCATGGTGGAAGGTCCCTTGTTTTGAAATTGGTCACAGTAACAATCTTTTGTATCATGTGAGTTGAGAGAGAGAGGTGATTAGAAGTACTAGTAACACTGCTGTTCTGATTTTCTACAAATTATAAAACATGCAGTTTGAATAAATTTGGAGGAGGATTCTGCTTTTATTTCTTTAGAGAAAGTAATTGCAGTCTTGGAAAATTCATAGGGAGATTTTGAGTAGCTAATATGAAAAATCCTGTTTTGAGTTGGCTATACTGGGTCAGTGAAAATATAAACAATTATTTCTGTATTAAATATGAAACATAGGGAGTGCCTGGGTGGCTCAGTCCATTAAGCGTTTGCCTTCAGCTCAGGTCATGATCCCAGGGTCCTGGAATCGAGCCCCGCATCGGGCTCCCTGATCTTCCGGGAGCCTGCTTCTCCCTCTCCCTTTGCCTACTACCTCCTGCTCGCTCCCCCTGCTTGTGCTCTCTCTCTGTCAAATAAATAAATAAAGTCTTCAAAAAAAAATATGAAACATAGGACCTCCTAACTGCCTCTGCGATTATATTAAATTTCTAACATAAAGTATAGCTTGGTTTGTTTTATTATAACTTTAAAATTTTTCTGTATTAATTTAAAAAGTATATAACCTTATGCCCAAAATCACAATGATTATTTTTTTCCTCTTTATATGCTTTACTTTATCCATCAGTTCACTAACCAATATAACTGGATACTTATATTTGTAGGAAGTTGGAAGACTTCAGAATAGAGAAAGGTGAAGAGGAAAGAAATCTTTATATAATAGGAAGGAAAAGGAAGACTCTCCAGCTCACACAAAAGGTAACCTAAAATCTCTTTTCTTAGGAATAACTAGAAATTAAACTGAATTTGTACTTTTTTTTTTTTTTTTTATCAGTGAGAGTATTAGTAACTTTTGCCTGAAGTAGGATATTTCTTGCTCAAGGTCTTCTGTTTTGGATTTAAAATAGTAGACATAAGGTTGTACAGCTGTTAGGAAAGAGTAGTCTGAATGAAACTTGAGGGAAGGACATAGCTAATACCTAACAGTGCTAAAGGATTTTAGAAAACTCCTGTCTGATGACCACTCAGGTTAAGAACTGGAACATTACAAGCCCATTGCATGCATTTCAGGTCCATTCCCACTTGCTGACTGCCACAGCTAGCCAACCATTTGATGTCTAAAACTGCTGGTTAGCTTTGTCTATTTCTGAAGTTTGTCCAGATGATGCGTTTAAAAAAAAACCTTAGATGTTACAATGATTTGTGACCCTCCAAAGCTCATTGTCCCAAAGAAAATCTCATTCCTTAATATTTAGTTTCTCTTGATTTTCATGAGCATCACATGAGCAGTATTAACATTGATTCATGGAAGATGCCCAATGTTTGCAAGATCAGTGCTATAGAACTTTGTTGGAAAGTGGTTGTGTTTCCAGGACTTGCTCTCAGTTGACCTCTCAGTCTTGAAGGCATGTCATGACAGATGGCCTGTGCATGCCTAGCTGCCATGACATGCCTTGTCGTTTCAGCTTGATGCTTGATAATTTTGTATATGACTTGGGCTTTGAGAATGAAGTAAAAATAGTGTTTAATTTAAAAGTGATTTAACTCATTATGTCAAGTATGAAAAGAAAAAACATGTTGACTGGAATGAATATCTTTGGCCTGAGTTAGGATGTTTTCTCATGAAAAAAATTTGAAAGTTAAATTCACTAAAATAATTTTTAAGAAACTAATAAGGGGCGCCTGGGTGGCTCAGTTGGTTAAGCGACTGCCTTCGGCTCAGGTCATGATCCTGGAGTCCCTGGATCGAGTCCCGCATCGGGCTC